TTTATTCCATGTGGTGGTAGCAACACCAATCGCTGCATAACAACCTGTAATATCCAAAAATTTATAAACGAATGTAGATAGTTGTATATTATAGCAGACCTGGTTCAGTATCCAATATAATTTCCCAATAATGAACTCCTTTGTTCCATGTTACGTTTGTATATGCATAAAGAGAGGCGTCGCATCCACCGCGAGTAGTTGCTGTTAATCCATCTTCTGATATAACGACACCAAAATGATGATCAATTGGATGAAATAAAAGCTTTTCCACCAAAATTTTGTCCCCATCTGGCGTTTGCTTTCGGATCAGTTTCAAAAGTGATTTGATTTGGTAATATTCAACTTCAAGCGCCAATTCGCCAACTTCTTGGTCAGTTTTCGGTGATACAAATACATTTGTTCTCAAGTAATTTAAAATAATTCTAAAGAGAGATGAATCGAATATCTTTCTATGTATCATAAGGGAAATTCTGACCTGAAATGTGTTGGATCACGATCGATAAACGGTGTACCATTTTGTTCAGGTATTTTTATCCGACCGCTAAACATAGCTGAAAAAAGGCATTCTTCTTTTGTTAATGTCTGAAGTGTTGTGGAGAAAATTTGACCGCCGATATTGATATTTACAATATTTTCATATTTTGTTAACATGGGAAATAATAGTTCTTTTTGTGTTTTTAAATGTTCAATTTCGTTTTGTAGGTTTGTTCGTTCATTTAATAAATTCGTTTGACTCTCGATCAAATGTTTGGATAGAGTTGCTATTTCTGCTTCCATATGTTTGTAGAATTTTTCGAATAATGGCTTCCATGTACTTTCCAGGCTCTGAGGTTGATTATCACCATCTGACACAGTTTCCATTTTGTAGCTTTCTGCGTCTATAAAAGTTCTGTGTTTATGAATCGTAGCGCGGATTGTAAACCTCGACGTGTTTTTTCTTCTGTTTTGATTTTGAATATGACACATTCAACTATTCCTTTCACAGATAGGTACGCAAACAGAAAAACAAAAAAAAATGTGTAATGACAACAAGAAAAAAAATATGCGTAAGAACGTTACAAAGAAAAAGAACAAACTCTGTTTTTTGTAAGTTTTCAGCATGGACTACACATGTACATCAATGCGCTCTTCAAATTTGAGAAAAAACGCAACCCTAATTTTGACGGCAAAACAAAGAAGAAAACGTTTAACAAATAGTCTTTAATCACGAAATATCTCATGTAAAAACTAAGAAATATGACTTTCATATGAGCCTAGCAATTGCTTTTGTGCCATTTTGCGCATATAGCTCTGCAGAAAACCCTTATATGACGTTGAGTAAAAGCACCTGAAAAAACAAACAGTAGTTTTCTCTTGTAATATTGCTACGAATACTAGTTAGCACAGCATGTTTCTGCTTACCTTCAAAAGCGGCTTTGAAAAGGCGTTGGACATTACGTTAACATAACTCAAACCTTGAAAAAATGTACTTACACTTTATAATTGCTAATAAAATTTAGAAATTAGTCCATTTTCTATATTTTAATAATATCTTTTGCTTCAGAGATTTGAAATGCAATCAAATGTATTAAGATTAGTTTTGTTTTCTGCACACAACTGATACATCATATCAAAATTTGATGGCTTTTTTCAAGAGACGCGGCCTTTGAGATTTTAAATAAATACTTTATTCTGGAAAAAAAGAATGCAGTGAGTATCCAAATATATATTTCAGTTCATACTACTATCTATTTCAAAATAGAATGAGTGTGGATGTCTGTTGATTGACAAAAGATAGAAATACTCGGTTTTCACTGTTTCAAAGAAAACAACAGTGGACGTCA